ATATATATAAACGACCTACCTAATAGTGAATTGGTATCGGATGGGCGTTTATTCGCTGATGATACCAACTTGACTTTTGCGGACAGCAACCCTGACAAGTTGATTTCTGTTTTAAATGACGACCTTAAAACTCTCCAAAACTGGCTTAACCTGAATAAACTACGCCTGAATGCGATTAAAACTAAATGTATGTTTATGGCATCCAGGCAAAAATTAAGTACTATTCCTGAAGAACCTAATATTGCATTCTCCGGAAACAAAATTGAAAGAGTTAGATCTTATAAGTGTTTAGGTTTAAAACTGGACGAGAGTTTGACATGGGAGCATCATGTTTCTACTATAATCTCCAAAGTCTCCAAGGTGATTGGAGTTCTACGAAGACTAAAACCATTGCTCCCACAGTCAACTCTTGTCATGATCTATAACTCTTTAGCACAGCCTTACTTTGATTATTGTAGTGTTGTCTGGGATAGCCTAGGTAAGGGTCTTGGACAAAGGTTACAGCGATTACAGAATAGGGCCGCAAGAATTATTACTGAATCTGATTATAACATCCGGTCATCAGATATTTTAACATCATTGAATTGGACCAACCTTGAAACCAGACGTACCCAACAGTTCAAAAATTTTATGTACAAAACTGTTAATAATATGGTTCCTAGTTATTTGTCTGGAAAATTTACTTCCACGTCAATGATACACGAACATAGTTTGCGTGGATCTAATCATAAACTTTTTGTACCAAGACCCTTAACGGAATCCTTGAAGAAAAGTTTTTCTTACAGAGGAGCTACCCTCTGGAATGACATACCCGTCGAACTCACTAGAGTTCAATCTCTCGTTGAGTTTAAATCTAAAATATCTTAATATTTCTTTTTATATTAGTTTCTTTGCATGTGTAGTTTGTTACCTTTGTAAATAGTTTGATACTTTTTTTATTAGTAATTAGTCGACTAGTATAGGTACACGTCTCCATTGAAGAGCACATAACATAACCTGTGAAATGGACCTCGTGTTTTAAATAAAGATGTCAATCAATCAATCAATTTAATGCAAGAATATCGAGACATTCATCGGCTAATATGATCCTAATTTCGTCAATATGCTTAGGTAAACTGGTTATGTTAAGCATACCCATTTTGAAACCCTTGAGCGTTTTCATGTTCTAGGCTTGTTAGACAATATTCAGTTACTTTAGTGCCACCATTCAAACTCAGTTCTTTTAGCTGATCAAGCTGTTCGGCAAAGTTTTCCTTTATTTGTTGAAGCTCTGCTTTCGTTTAGTCTTTCGACAATATGTTGGTTTAGTTTTAATTTAATCTCGCTTACCTCAGTAGGGAGTTCGTTACAGACTACCTGAGCGGTTGTTTCACATTCGACAGTTGTTATATCGCCACCGTCGTCCTCCGTGTCATTTTGAGCTACAAGGCGATGCTGTTGTGTTCTTTCACACCTTCTTCCTTCAGATTTGAAATTATTATGATTCAGGTCGAAAAAAGCAGGATTATTCTGCTATAAAAGGTCAATTACAATGCCAATAAAGGTCTTTATAAGATTTATAATGTGCCTGCTGAGATTGCTGCACGTAAAACATGATATATTAAATATACTATAAAATAAAATAAAATAAAATAAAATAAAATAAAATAAAATAAAATAAAATAAAATAAAATAAAATAAAATAAAATAAAATAAAATAAAATAAAATAAAATAAAATAAAATAAAATACTTGTATCTGATGTTTAACTGTATGTATCGTATTATATATTATCGTTGTACCGCATAGCCATAGCACGCACAGAGAAGTCGTGGCGTAAACGAATGGCGTTCATAAGATAACCAATGGAGTTCACTGGTGAAAACAGATAGCTATACTTCGAATTCGAAATAAGTCTTGCTCGTTGAGTTTCAGCAATGTCCAGAGAGCAATGTCAATGCAAGGAATTTTATAGTCCATAACTGCATATAAAGAACACGGGTTTTAATCCTGTGCTATCACAAGTCAAGATACAGCAGCATTGTTTACAAACAGTTGGCGATGTTTCGGAAACCAAAAGATCACGTTATAAAAAATCCGTTTGAATATCGGACAGGATACACTTCAATTTAACGGCCAGATCGTTCGTTTGATCGGTCGGTCGGTGTGGAAGATATTAAAGTAGCTTCTACGATAAAGCGTGCTCAACTTCGCAAGCTGTAGGTAGGCTAAGGTAGCGTGTGGTGTTCTTTCCTTGCAATTGAAATATGATTCAGCTTCTTGTTTGAAATGTAACTCAACACTCATTATTGATGACATTCATATAGCAGGAAGTCGTGTCATGATAAATAGAATTTTTAGTAAACAGTTTATTTCACGATTTCTTGTTGTAAATTTCATTTTAATCACCAGAAACTAGAACACATAAGTTGCAATTTTCCAAACACGACAAACCACTACCCATAGACACAATTTATTTTAGCACGCAGAATTTGCGTGCCACGTGACCAGCCCCAGCCATTTGCTTCACAAGAGGAAAGAGCCTGGGAACGAGGTTGTTGTAGCTTTTGAAAGTCAAGCGAGATCGCATATTATCAAATTACACAATTGTCTGAACTCTTTCTCGACGACTTTGTATGTTCAATTGTTCATATCTTCGGTTCAGTGCTAGGTTAGTTCAGTGCATGCTTCCTTCGATTCAGTGAAACAATATCAACTATACTAAGGGACCGGTCATAAAGTAATTACTAGAGGGGGGTGGAGGATAAATAAAATTTCAAGTACATATTTCCATACCCTCCCAAAAACCTATGGAAAAATTTTCGTAACCCCCTTCAATGTAAGTGAAAATTTTCATAACCAACCCCCCCCCCCCTTTTTTCTATCATTACTTCTGTTTTAACATTTGTCTTGCGTTTATCTATATTTCGAAACTCAAACAAAACAGTTTGTGATAACTCTCCCACTTCTTGTAGTGGTAACCATATATCAGTCAGTTCACTCAACATTTTCCGCAGTCTGCGATTCGTCACCAGTCTTTTCTGATTCTGACATACTAGCGATGGGTTGAGAATAAGAAAAAACAGAAAAAATTATTTTTGGTTTATTTCAATTTCGTACCCAGAGCCATCGTACGTTGAGCTCTGGGTACGAGATTGGGTTTATTTCAAACAGAAAAAAATGCTTCCTTTCAATGTGACACTTTTTCATCAGGTTCTAATGGTGCGAGCTTGCTAGCAATGACAATTCAGATGTATCAGATTTGTACTCCAAACGTTCCACGGATACTGAATCCTACTTATCATGATCATCTGACATTAGTAAAACAATTCTTTCCAAACTTAAATTTGGGCACAAATACATTCAAAATTCAACAATAATTATAAAGTGTAATTTTTTTCCGTACCTATAGTAATAAGATTTTGGTACCCCCCCTCGAGGTTCTGTTGTTTTTTCGTACCCCCCCCCCCCTCAGAGGTTCTGGGTTTTTTTCGTACCCCAAAAAAAAGAATATCCTCCACACCCCCTAGTAAATACTTTATGACCGGTCCCTAATTTCTCACAATAGTTTAAGTCCTTATCAACATTGTAGCGATTTATGGCCTTTGAAAGTCAAGCGAGATGGTATATTATCAAATTACGCAATGTCTGAACAAAGATATAACTTCGGCCCCGTATCTTCATTGCAATATTCTTGTTCGAATCATTATCAATAACTACTGTGTGGAGTGTTTATATTTTCGAGATTGTATCTTCAAATTTGTATCTTTTAGTTTTATCACGGTATATAAAAATTTCCGATTTCTAGTCCGACTGTGAGCTAACAAAAACAATAAACTAGCAATCCCAACCTGAAGTACAATTTTAAAACAATGCGACGTTTGCACGTTGTGCTTGTGTTATGATTCTGGAAAGACTATTAGTAAAACCAGGAACACCGGAAGAACGGAACAGCATCATTCCGGAACACGGAACACCGGAACACTAAATTTTCTTAATTTGTTAAAATTCGAAAAAAAATTACCGGGGGGGGGGGAAAATTATTGCTGGAAAAATTATTGCGTAAAACATGCTTTTTAATAATATTCTGACTTAAGTTCAGTAATAAATTTACGTGGTGTTTCCACAAACAAAAACAATTATATCTTTCAGTTGTTGTTGAAAACATGACCTTTGCCTTTGGCCGGCTTTCGGTCAATATTAACAGACAATATTGTATTAAACAACAGTTGATTGGCTTCCTTGTTTTTACAAACATACTTTAATATGAAGTTGAAAAGGATAATTTTCATCTCTCATTCAAAGTTTGCCTTTACTTTAGCATCACTTACAATTCTTTAATATACGTAATAGCAATTTGATCTTTCTCACACAACACATAAGCAGCGATGGAAGGGAAACTTTTAGCGTGATAATAACCTTTCGCCGTTTCAGTCAATCAAAACGGACAAAAATACAAACAAATGTAGGCATTGTAAGTCATAGCTTAAATAATATTTCAACGCATGTGTGTCTATTTGTCTATTTCACTATGTTTAAAATTTATTAGCTGACCCTCAAAGGTAATTTTGTGCACTTGGAAATTTAGTACGAGTAGTGTTGTATGACTATATCCGAGTTTTGGCTTGCCCTGCATGAGATTCATTGTAGACCGGCTAGAATGATATAGCAAACATAATATATAAAAAGGTCACACGCGACGGGGCATAGTTGAATTGGCAACTTGCATTTGAAAGGTAGACGTGCAATTTTCAACTTCCGCCCATTGGCATTGAGTATATAAAAATGGAAAACAAAATTTAAAAATAATGAAGATCATTAATTTTAGCATTCTGTGGGATAGTTCCTCGGGTAGAGGAGAATTGATCACGTGATCGGCTAGTTGTGTTGTTTGTGGCGTCAGATATAACCCAATCCCTAATCTGTGGCGTCAGATATAAGCCTAATCCTTAATCTAACCCTTACCCTAACCCTTACCCTAACCCTAACCCTTACCCTAACCCCAACACTAATCACTGTACTGATGACGTAATCTGTGATGCAAATTCTTCTACCCGAGGAAGTACCCATTCTGTGATGAGGACCGAGATATTAGTATTCGTTCAAAATATCAAATTCAAATACAAGTTGTAAAATCAACTTATTGTTTATACATATAAAAATGGCGCATCCTATATTAAAAGGGCATATAATTTAGTATGTGCAATAATCTTTCGTGCTATATATCAGTACCGCGTCGCGTGTGACTTCGGCATCTCAGGGCAAGCGAAAACGCGGATAGACTAGAGTCGTATGATATTTACTTGTACTAAATCTCCAAATGTAAAACGTTCCCTAACGTAAGTGAGTGTCAATTTAATTTACAGTCGAATAAACATAGTGAAATAGACAAATAGACATACATGCGTTGAAATATTATTTAAGCTATGACTTACAAGCAGAGCCGCCCAGAGGTTGGCGGGGGCCCGGGGCAAATTATTTGTTAGGAGCCCTTATCTAAAAAAATTTTCCCGGAAAAATTTTTTTTCGGAGAACAACCTCCCCCCCCCCCGTCGCCAAAAAATTTTCGGTCAGTGTACCATTTTAGGGGTAAAAATTTTTTTCCGGAGTACAAAATTTTTCCGGACGAGTACATTGCAATTGCTTTCGAGGGACTTTATCTCATTTTTTTATGCCAAAAATCTGTACTTAGTCCAACTAAACAGACATCTTGTCCTTTGCGCGGAAAAATTTAACACACAAAAAAGGCTGGGGCCCCTACTAAAATTTTTCAGGGGCCCCAAGCAACTCGGGGCCCGGGGCAATTTGCCCCCTTTCCCCCCCCCCCTCTGGGCGGCCCTGCTTACAAGGCCTACATTTGTTTGTATTTTTGTCCGTTTTGATTGACCGAAACGGCGAAATGTTATTATCACGCTAAAAGTTTCCCTTCCATCGCTGATTATGTGTTGTGTGAGAAAGATCAAGTTGCTATTAGGTATATTAAAGAATTGTAAGTGATGCTAAAGTAAAGGCAAACTTTGAACGAGACATGAAAATTATCCTTTTCAACTTCATATTAAAGTATGTTTGTAAAAACAAAGAAGCCAATCAACTGTTGTTCAGTTCGTAATTTATCGGCAAGTCAGAATATTATTAAAAAGCATGTTTTATGCAAGAATTTTCCAGCAATAATTTCACCCCCCCCCCGGTAATTTTTTTTCGAATTTTTAACAAATTAAGAATTTTTAGTGTTCCGGTATTCCGTGTTCCGGAATGATGCTGTTCCGGTGTTCCGGTGTTCCGTTGTTCCGGTGTTCCTGGTTTTACTAATAGCCTGGAAATGCCAGAAATCGATTCCAAAGGTCAGCTAGAGTGCACATCTATGCTTTTATTTGCTCAATGCCTTTTATTTCCCAGTGCTACTATTCTATTCAGTAGATGCATGTCCGCCACAGCGGACCTATGTTTATGATTCTTGTGTGTACGAGTACGTTTTGCAAAATAATCTTTCAAAGTAAGATGTTTTCCCGACTGCATGATTTACTTTCGCCTCGGCCGGTTACAACTACAAGACTCAAAAGCCGTGTCGACGTGAGCTGTGATGCCAGTTTCCTGACAAAACAAGAAACGTCTACTTCGGCCCTTCGAAACGTCGAGTTTCTGCTTATTTTTTTAAGGTAGTAATATAACCACTCAGCACAGCATTTTATTATTTAAGCTGCAGTTTTCCTTGTACAGTATTTATAATGTAGTGCAGATGTCTGATGAAATAACTATGCGTATTGCATTGTAGTAATATTTTAATTTACAATATTCTATATTGACAAATAAAAGCAAGACAAACAATTAAATGAAACTACTAAATTAATTTAGGCCCTGTTTACTTAATAGCTCTACACCTAAGCCGATGTAGTCTCTACAAGATTCGTCACGCCACCGAGTTTTACAGTTTCAGAATACCCCGATCGAATACTTGAAAATTGCGATCATACGATAAAATAAAACAAAGATTGTGAAGGGGATAAAATTTGTAGGCAAGCATTGCTGCTGAATGGCAAGTGTTGGTGTCCGGCGAAACAAGCGAATCCGTATATTCCTGTACAGCGTATTAAAACAGGTTACGCGAATATCGAACTAAGTCAGATCTATAAGAGCATATTTAAACTAAATATTAAAGGCAATTGTCGTAAAAGACGAAGACCAGGTTTGTTTGGTTGAATAATATTGAATAAAACTATTACAAAGCGTTGTGTTTACGAGTTTCCATCAAAAACTGTATCAAAGTGCGCCAAAAACTGCCATACTGTGGTAGAGTTAGCTGTTTAAGGGGTGCCACTCGAGACTTCGAAATAACTAACGATGTCTGATCTTCATTGCACAGGCTTACCTGTGCAATGAAGATCAGACATCGTTAGTTATTTCGAAGTCTCGAGTGGCACCCCTTAAACAGCTAACTCTACCACAGTTGGAACTTATGGCCGCATTATAACTGCAGCTCGGTTAGCAAGTTTTGTCAAGCAAGCCTTGGAACAAAGGTATTCCACTTTAGAAATATATATGTGGTCAGACAGCGAAATCGTTCTACATTGGTTAAACAGCGACAAAACACTGAAACAGTTTGTTGCGAATCGTGTTCAAGAAATTAAACAACTCGTTCCCGCAACACACTGGAACTATTGCCCCACTAAATCCAATCCTGCTGATTTACATACTCGTGGCATCAACTCAAAACAAAGAAGACGACTGCGCCATATGCTTTGGTACTTGCATAAGCGAATACGTGTAATTGAGTGTTCTCTGAATTCGAGTTCTGGCATTGGAAGTAAGTTCTTGGCAATGTAATTTGAGTAGCTTTTTCAATCTCTTTGGCGATAGCATTCCAAGCTGTACTGACAGTGGTTCATTCCATTCTAGGTGTTGCTTCCATAAATAATTGCATGAATATTTTTGCCTTGATAGTGACTGGGGAAATCAGTCCGAGAAGGTCATAGGTTTTGGAAGCCTGACGTAATACTTCACGTTTGGTATAGGTACTTTCTGGAGAAGGGCTCGTTAGTTTTGGACTTAAACTCAGGGTGTCAGTTGAGGGAGTCCATTTCAGGCCAAGGAGGTTAACGACTTCATTCTTGTCTGCTACGTTGTCACTGGTTGCCTGTGTGTGCAGAACCTTGCTGTTTGAAGCCCACGAGCGTAGATTAAAGTTACCTTCGGTCATTATGGATCTTGCTTCATTGTAGTATTGAAGGGTTTCTTCTTCAGTGTCACGGCCAGAAATAAAGTTATCAACATACAAATCATCCTTGAAATCTTTAGCTATTTGTGAGTTGTGGTCGTTCAAGTGTGAATGTAGTGTTGCATTAAGCATAAATGGAGAACTTGTGGAACCAAACAATACGACTTTAAATCGGTAGATCTGGAATGCACTTTGTGGGTCGGTTGGATTAGATAACCAGAGAAATCTTGTGAAGTCTCTGTCACTTTTGTTTAGGCCAACATGTAGGAATGCTTTCTCGATATCTGTTGAGAATCCATAAGGATATGTGCGAAATCGTAGAATAATGCCACAAAGGTCGTTCAGAAATGACGGTCCGACCTCAAGACAGTCATTTAGTGATGGCAAATCGGGATGTTGACGACAACTGCAATCAAAGACAATCCGGATAGGGGTCGTAGACGATTCTTTCTTTATAGGATGGTGAGGAATATAATGAGCTTTGTCTGAGTGTTTTGAGTTGTTTGAACTTTCTCTATAAATCCACGACTTTCATACTCAGTGATGATATTACTATATGTCTGGAGTAGTTCCGGTGTTTGTTTGAGGCGACGTGCCATCGATCTTGTTCTCCTTTCGCATAACGTGTAGTTAGATTCGAGAGGTGGGTGTTCTGGTTTCCACGGACATCCTGCTATGTAACTGCCATTCGTGTCACGGCTGATGAATGATTGTTGATACTGTTCGAGAAATTGTTTATGAGGATCATTTTCAGTTGGTGGTGTTATTCCCAATGACTCTAGAGACCAAAATCGTTGTAGGTTGTATTCATCTGAGGATATCTGAAGAAAATTTGCAATCGAATGTACTGGTTGGTCAGTTTTTAACGGGCCTGATAGTAGATAACCAACTTTGGATTTCATGGCAGTAGGCCCATTTCCACGGATGACTTGGTCTTCGATGATGTCCCAGTATTGGTCGGCTCCAACGAGGAGGGAAATTTCAAAATTCTCATAATTTGTTACAGGGTGTGCAAGTTGAAGGTTCTTCAGATGTGGGATGTTGTTGATGTGGTGATGTGAACGAAGTTGAAGTGGTGTTGCTATTCTTTCAACAATTAGTACGCGTAGTGGGATTTCATCATTGGTATTTGTCTTAAGGTTGATGACAGTGGACTCGAGGGACCTTGCAGCTGAAGTTTGAGCACCAAAGCCAGATACACTGATAAATTCTCTTTCTGTGGGTTGTAGTTGCAAGCGGGTTGCTAAATCTTTGGTAATGAATGATCTTTGTGCTCCTTCGTCAAAGAGAATGTTTGCTTCACAGTAGGTGGTCTGATTACCAACTGTTGCTATGGCTGTTTTGAGCAAGGTTTCCGTGTGGGTGGGATTAGTCAGGGGGGCAATAGGGGTCATAGTGGTGTGGACAACAGTACCCGAGGTGTTCCCAGTAACGTTTGCAGCTGGTGAGGGTATTTCAGGTTTTGGCTGACCTTCATTACAGAGACTGGTATGGTGTTTTCCCTTACATGAGCGACAGCGAAACTTTGACAGGCATGCTGAGGATTTGTGGTGACCCACAACAAACACATTTCTTCGGTTTAGGATGAATGGGTGCAACATATCTTGGTGGTGTTTCATGTCAATTGTGTGATAGGAATGATGATGTGATAGAAGCATGATGATTTTCAGGTGTGATTCTATTTTCCAAACTGGATATCCCTGCTTCCAGAATTTTAATTTCCTTATAAATGGATTCTCTTAATTGAGAGAATGTCCATTCCGGGTTACTGTGTTCTCGAGCTAAGTTTCGTCTAAGATTATTGGGTAGTTTGCCA